AATAAAATCACCAGACCAATAAAATCACCAGACCAATTCCTGGTGACTGCCTGGACAAGTCCCTGCAGTTTTCTTGGCAAGGCTTTTCAGAAGTGGCTTGCCTCCTTCCTAGGGCTGAGAGAGAGAGGGACCGGCCCAAGGTCCCCCAGCTGGCTTCATGCCTCAGGCAGGACTAGAACTCAGTCTCCCAGTTTCTAGCCTGGTGTCTTAACCACTACACCAACTGGCTCTCTCATACTGATGATCCCTGATTCCAAACTGGCAAATGAACTCACCCAATGGCTCCATGTAGATGTAAAATGGGGTGGAGGGAGAAAGTTAAACCCTGCAGCACCCCATAACTTACAGAGCTGTGTATGAATATGATGGAGCTGAAGGTTTATTGCTGAATGTGGTAAGAGTGATGATGTTGATGATGATGTATTATATTTGTATACCACCCAACTCCCAACGAGCAGTTCACAAGCAATAGAAGTAAAGCGTGCAAAAGAATAAAAGGCATTCTTGGCAGATGGTTCAGCACTGAGCAGGAGTAAGACCAGAATATATGGGGTCCCCTGGTTGTTATGTATGTATGGGGAAAGCTACGTCATCAACTGGTATGTCACTGCGATGACAGAGGCCACCGTAAGCAGCCTACATATTAGGATTAAAAAGAATTAGATAATAATGAACAGAAAACCAATAAACAATAATACTGCTGGGGCATCAGTGGAAACAATAAAATGAAATCCAATCACAGTCATAAGTCGGAGATCCAGTATTACGGAGTTTTGTTACCCTGCATCACGTCTCTTGTTAAAGCCAGGTTTTAATGGATTGGACTGGGGCCACACAGACTTCAGAGGGAATGCTATTCTGTGGGGCGGGGCAGCCCTAGAGAGATTGTCTGGGGACATCATGTCCTGATGGCTGAGAACCCAGAGTACTTGCTGCGAATGTAAGCCAGGGTATATGATGCTGAGAGGAGAATGCAAGTTAAGGGATCAAAGACAAAAGAGTTGTGTTTAACAGGGAAAATGGAATGAAAAATGGCAATTTACACATAAATGTTTAAAAATTTGAGCAAAAAGATGAACTAGTGTTTCTTGAGAGCATATTTAGTGACGATAGGAAAATGCCAATGCAGATACTGGTAGATAGTGAGTAACACATGGTCTGTTCAGAAGAATGACGGTCAAAAGATGAGTAAATGGCTGTGCATAAGAGCCTGCTTCTTCCCTCCTGGTTAAATAAAAGGTGGAATATAAATCTAATTAATACATCTAATTAATAATTATTACCATCATCACATGGAAGGGAGTGTCATGCCAGGCCTACTTAAGGTGTGCATCTATGTGTCCTAAACCAAGAAGAGAGATTGTCAAAAATGAACAGGCGTCAGAGGAACGTGAACTTAACAGAAAGGTGACTAACCATGACAGAAGAAATACATATGGTGGTTTGGTCTTTCAGGGAGAATGAATGGGAAGCAGCAGCTTACAGAACAAATATGAGGAGGAAGAGAGAACTGGTGAGAGGAAGGAGGGACTGGGAAAATCAGGCTGGGCGTTGTTCATGAGAGCTGAGGGGGCTAAACTACAGACAGTGTTGTGTGAAGCGCCAGATGGAGCTGATGGAGGCAAGGATGGTTTGCAAGAGCAGGAAGGAGTGGAGCAGTGCTGGAAGAACCTTGATTTAGTATTCTTTCTTCTTTCCCCGATGCGTCCCTTAATTTCCTTGGCTTGCTGTTTTTCACTCCGCGTAACCTGCTCCCCGAAAGGGAATCGCTTGCTGGGTAGAAAAACGGCCCAGTGCCTGGGCTTCCGTGGCCTCTCCTTGGATCACCGGAGAAATTCCCCCTCGCCTCCGATCAGAGGTGCCCGGCCTCGGCCGCCGCCTTGGAAAGCACACAAGCCGCTCCTTCTCCTTATCGGCGGCGCTGGGAGCTCGCCCTGCCTTCTGAACCCGAGGAGTGGGGCTGCGTCAGAGGGCGGCACCCCGCGCTCGGGCAGGGTGCGCCTCCGCCGCCCCAGGTCAGGCCTCTTTGCCGGAGGCGCGCGAGGGGCAGCGCGGAGAGGGGCGTTTGCCCAGCTCTTCCCCCAGGGCGAGAACAGCCAGGCTTCGTCCCCGGCCCAGCGGCCTCCGCGACCACAGTGAAGGGCGGCTGCTCCTGCTGGGCAGACGCGCCTGACCGGTGGGAGAGGCTGGAGCGGCGGCTGCTCTCTCTGGGGCTCCCCGCCTTAGCTCTGGACCTCGCGGCTCCCCCACCGGCCATCGGGGCCGCGCGCGAAGCAGGCGCTAGCTCAACCTGGCCTTTACGCCAGAGGGTGAGGAGGGTGGGCTGAAGCTGTGTGGACGGGTCCCGGTCACTCCCACTCAGGTTCGGATAGGCGGCCGACTCGGGCGCCCCCCCCCGCACCCCGAGGGCAGGCGTGTTTGTGCCCGTGGCTGAAGTGATTTTAGTGGGGATCTGAAGCACTCCTGGGGTGGCGCTGCGCTGCGTTCGGACACATGCACGTGTAACAGAGCAAGCAACTGACTTGTGTGGCTTTGCGAGTTAGGGTGGGTGGGTGGCGGTGGTATTGCAAATCCTGATCGCGAGTAAAGGTATTCCTCCTTCTTGTTAGCCCTCCTGAGAGCCAGCCTCCCCAGTCGGGGCAACCTCCCAGGATTTTCAGCAATGGCCAAACGGCAGAGGGGGAGTCTGAAGCTGGAGTTTACATTCTTGGGGGTGGGGGGTGCCCGGGCTAGGGAGGGCTGAAGAAGGGGTCCCTAGAGGATCTCCAGAAAGAAAGCCCACCCAGCAGAACCGGGAGGAGCGTGGCAGGGAACCAGAGGGTGTCTGTGTCTGTGGGTGTGCAATTGCCCTTCCTGTGATTGTGCCTTGCAGGTGAAGGGCCTTCAGAGGGAGGTGACCAGCCAGAACCTGGAGCAGGTACTGTTGCAGAAACCCTGGCTCTCCTTGGGCTGCTTTTGGCTTGGGGGTTCATGGTTGAGGTCTCCCTCCAGTCTGTGGAGGGAAGGTGAGGCCTGATTTTTTAAATTTAAGGTGGTTATTGAATTAACCTAGTGCTTCGTTTTGTGTGGGGTACTGATGACAAGCTTGTGCAGGCAAAGTCCCCAACCCAGCTAATGAACCCTGAGGGGGTTAGCTTAAAGCCCAACCACAGAGCCCGGCTTGCTGGAGGCTAAGTCCCTGTATGCACGGTGGACATCCTAGAGGAGGATGACAGGAGGAGAGGTATACTCTTGGCCCTCTGTCTCTGGGCAATCTTGGGGGAGTGGCAGAAACAGGCGGGGGGGGGGGGGGGGGAGGGAAGCCTCCAGCCCCCTTGGAAGCCACCAGGAGGAGAGGGTATTGGCTGGGATGGGAGGCTCCTGGCCAGCTGGGTCAGGTGTAGGGGCCACTGACCAGTAAACAGACCAAACCTGCATGCTAAGCCACCCCCAATCTTTCCAAACTCATGTTGCGGGAATGCAGCCCCCAGCCTTGATCCATGCTGGTTAAGAGCCTGCCTCTCAGCTACAACCCAGTAGCCTCCCCACCTCCTAGTAGGTAGCTGGACATAGATGCCTCTGCTGTGAGGGGGGGAGGACAGGGGGCAGAGGAGGGGCAAGGGAGGACCTGGCTGCAGGAGCAGGTCTGAGTCCCTGCGGTCTCACTCCAGGCGGAGGTCTCCCCTCTTCTCTGCCAGACGGCACCCCAAGAGAAGGCCCTGTCACGGCTTCTGGAAAAGGTATGCACCTGGCCCGGCGACTGGGTTAGGGTTAGGGGGCCTCCTCATTCTTTGCTTCAGTGACAGTCTCTGAGTCCTGGGGGGGGCGGTGCAAGTCTTGCCAAGCGGCTTCTGAGTGCGCTCTGGGCTGCCCAAGGCCACTCTGGCCCAAACCCTTCAGCTTTGGCCCCAGGAGAAGGGGAGAGGGCCTGAGAAGGTCCCCCTTCCTCCGTGAGCCGTGCTGGGGTGCCTCCCTTCCGCTGTTCTGGGTGTGGTATGTCTGTTTCAGATCAAAAGCCCTCACTGGGCACAGGAGGGGCAGGATGGGCCTCGGCAGGCAGCAGCCCCCGGGCCACCTTCAGCTGGGCTTGGGAGCTCAGCAGGGGAGAGGCCAGGCTGGGGAGTACAAAGGCTTCCTGGGGGAGAACAGTGCAAATGATGCTGCACCCCCCCACCCCCCCCAACCAATTGTCACAATCCACAGAGGCCCAGCTCAGGCTACGGCAGTTTATGCTTCAGTACATTTTGGGAACCAGCCCTTCCCTTCCTGAGGGTGTGAATCCGACCGTCACAGGGAAGGCTTACTTCTTGGGCACCACCTCGTATGGAAACACAGCTGCTTTCTTTTAGCTACCCTTGGCCAGGTCTGGCTCACGTGATTCAAGCTGCATCTCTGTCTTGCAAATCACGATTTATTACATGTATATGCTGCCCATCTCCCAGCAACTCGGGGGGCGGGGGGCAGCTGGGGGTTCTCTGGCACCTCCAACCCAGGAAGGGCAGTTTGGAGGAGACATTCAGATTCACTTCTTCCCAATTCCTGAGCTACTCTGGTATCCTTTCTGCTTTGCTTCCAGATGTTGAGAAGCAGGTGGGCTCCTCCCTTCACACAGGTAAGACTGCCTGGGCAGCAGGATGGGCACGCCCTGCTCGCCAACTGGGCCATGTCAGCCCTTCCTTCTCTTCCCAAGTACAATGGTGACACCAATGGCAGTTGGGGTAGCTCCTGTGCCCATGAAAATGCCTCCTTCCACAGGGCCCTTTCTTGAGGCTCCTCAGCGTCCGTAACTCTCAACAGAGGCCAGGACTCTTCTGCCTCTGAAGCCTGAACACAGATGGGGGTGGGGGGTCTAAGCAGACAGCCACAGACTGGGGGGGCGGGCAGCGGCCCTCCAGAGGCTGCTGTGCAGGAATTCCCAGCATTTCTCCTATCAGTCAGGTTGGCGAGGGCTGCAGTTTGAAAATGTTTCTAGCCCCACTGTGCGCCAATGTGATAAGGCCCGCTGGTGGCCTCATCATTCCCATGGTGAGATTTATCGCAGGGCGTTTTTCTGCAGGGGACATTCTGGCTATTCTCTTTGGATCTCTCTTTGCTGTCACAGCACTTGCCTTCCTCTTCTATGTTCACAAGCACCGGAGCCAAACACCCAGGTGAGAGACCAACCCCAGAGTGAGAGGCTGCGTTTCAGGGCAGCACGATTTTCAGAAGCCACTGGAGGAGCACCACGCAGAGCTCTTCTTCCTACATGGCCCACACACACCTCCCCTCCTTCACGCTCCCACCCCAGTCTCTGCACCCCTTCCTTTCCCCCCGCCCAGGGTCCGAGGGCCTCCGAGAAAGGCCAGGGGGAAGGGGAGAACAGTGCCCATCACCATGCAACCACTCCCTCTTCTCTCCTGGCAGGCTCAGGGCCGGAGCAGCAAAGCCTACTGCCATCTACGCACCAGCCACCACTGATGAGAATGCACTGTAGTCGGCAGCCCTGGGCCCACTCCTCACTTCTTGAAGCCTCTGGCCACGCCATTGGAGCGCCTTCCTGCCCCAGCCTCTCCAAACCTCCACGTGCCTCTCCCTTGCTAGTGTGGCACTCAAGCTGGCCTGAGGAAAGGCACACCCAAGCGCGAGAAGGGCAGGGCGTGAAGTATCGGGGGGGGGGCAGCCTGGCCCTGGGAGAGGATGAGGCCTGCTCAGCGGAGTTCAGCTGGTCTTCAGTGAGAAGACCCCCCCCCTTTGAACTCAGGTGACATCAGGGCTGCCAGAGAATCAGCCTCTGGACCCTGAAACGCACGGTCTGCTGTGGTTCCGGGGTATATCCAACCAGAAACCTGTCACCTACCTTCAGGCCCGCCCACAGGCTCTCCAGCAGGGAAGAACCACGCACTGTTCCAGGCGTGATGGCACCTCTGCCTGGTTGCCCAGGGAGGCACCTTGGCCCAAGGCTTGCCCAGCTGCTGTGGAGAGCTTTGGTGCGCAGAAGGGCAGGGAACAGACTCGCCTTTCCTGAGAGCCAGGCTCTTTTGCTCACTCCCTGCTCGTTAGGAAGCCTGATTGGCCAAAGGTCGGGCTGGCGCAATTAATGGTTTCTTTATGGCCTGCACAAACACAAGGAGCCTCACCCGCTCTGCCGCCCTTCACCTTGGTTGAAGCCAATGCCAAGCTCATTTAGTGGCATGGCGGCTGCTGGATGATGGCCATGGCCGGAAAGTTGTCTACGCTCAGCCTTTTTCACGCAAATCCCAACTGAAACTGGATATTTTTCTCATTTCAAAAAAAGGTTTATTTAAAGAGTGCGCTACTTTCCTCAACCCACTTAAACACGATTCTTAAAAGAAGCAAAGCTGTCAGAATGCAGTCACTTGCAGAGCAGGTGTGATGGCACAGATTTGGTTGGCACTGGTCCCTCTGCCAAGGTGATCCTGGAAGCCAGTGAGATCAGTAGGCAAGATGTGGGGAGAAACCAGCTTGTGAATCTCACCTGCTCCCTCCATGGCTTGAGTTTAGAGGGCAAGGCTTCCTCAACCTGCAGTAGCTGAAGCCGCCTTTGCGCAGAACCCACAAGGACGGTTTGCAGCATGGCCAAAGACACCTTCCCTGCTCCTAGGCAGGCAGGCAAAGGCCAGCATCTTAAGGGATTACAGGCAAAGGATGACCCCCCCCCCAAGCAGCTGTGGATAAATGCAACTGGAGCAGGCAATCCCTCACTTAAAAAAAAGCAAAAAATCCCCCAGAGAGATGTGAGGGGAAAAAATTTAAAGTGAAGTATGAAGAGGCTTTCAGCCTAATACTGATGTCCAAACCAACAGGGCAGTGGGGCATTTCTGGCACACGCTATGTAGTTCTCCTGTGGAACTTATTGCCACAAGATGTGATGAGGTGAAGGTGACCACTAACTTGGAGGCTTTAAAGGGGAAATTAGATCCATGGAAGACAATAAAAGTAGTGCATTTATCCCCAGGGTAGGGGATAAATCTGCTTCTCCATGCCAGAGAAAGAAGTGGGGTCTTTTTGAGCTGCAGAAGAATGATGCAGGGGAACTGAGCTGGCTAACAGGTGCTTAGCAAGCAGAAGGCGAGGTCTTTGTGCCGATTTAAGGCTCTCAGCCTTGCTACCTCAGACAGTGGACGCCGATGGCTCCTCCCCTGCAAACCCCCCCACACACACAAAGCACACAGCAAGCGTGCCGGGGGTGACTTGTTTTTCTTCACAAGAAAGGCGAAGATGGCCCGTATTTGATGGAAGGCGTTAACTGGGAGAGTTTGGGGCGGGTCTCCTCCTCCTGGCCACACCTACCGAGAACAGGAGAGTGTTGGCTTGGCGCCAGTTGCCTTGAGTGTCCAGCAGCAGGCTGGGGAAGGGGGACAATGTTGCTCCCCTGTCCAAATGCCATGGTACTTTGTGCTGAATGTCTCAAAACGGGTGGGGGGGCGTGGGGGGTTACCAGTGCCACAGTTGTCTGAAGCCTCGCACTCCTGGTACACTGTTCTGTCGCTGGTGTGGCAGCTGCACTGCCCAAAGGGAGTAGTGCCAGGGCAGGCTAGCTGACCCAAACAGCCACGTCCACATGGAGAGGCAGCGGGGTCTGGGCACGATGGCCTGGCTCTGGTTCACAAACTCCGAGCTGCGGGTTCCGCTTCACCAGCAGCCCTTGAACGCGCAATCCAGCACTGCAGTTCCCATCGCAGAGGTGATCGGGGCCCTGTAAACGAAGCCTCACAAAGCAAGACTGAAGGGACTCAGATTGTCCAGCCTGGGAAGGGACCGGGTGGGGAAGATACCTCCAGCTGTCTCCACGGAACACGCCAACGCGGTGGCAGAATCAACCTGGCTTGAGTTCACGCAATACCGTGAGCCTACAACTGAGCATACACGCTTGGCTCGTGCAAAGCCACGGCTCCCCCCCGCCACAGGCCCTTTTCTCTTGTGACTGTTGCGTTGCCCCCCGTCCCAGAGGCTCCCCATGATTGTGACTGCACTGCTGCTGCCTCCCAGAGGCTGCCAAACGCCCTCCGCTCGTCCACCCAGCAGCTCTTTGGCACAGGCACGGCCACACCTGCTGACCAAGCAGGAGCCGCCGGGGGGACAAGGCCAGGGGCACCTGGC